GGTTTTTTTTTTTTTTTTTATTATTCTTTGAGCTGTTGTCGTGGTTGTCTGAGCTCTAAAACTGCGTTTGCTTTATTGAAAACTATTTCCTCTATACTTGAAGCTCCAGTGTCTTCAAATTGAGTCATTGATATATTACATACCTTAGTTAACGTGTTACACTACACTGTTAACATAATGTTTTTGTTCAAAATATTCTTAAGGAACATAATGTGTTTCTTAGATTCCGGAAATCCATTTTAAAATCTATATTAACTGAGGGTAAAATACATAAAAACCATCTCGAGAAAATGAATGATCATCATCATCCAGTGCCAGATCTGCGACAGACATCGGCGATCATGGTTTTCCTTTCATTCTTTTGCTTTGGTGCTCTCAAAAAAACTAACGTTTCCCTGATCTTTCCCCGTTACCCACCCGTTCAGGTTCCCTAAGTATGTTATTCTGGGCCTACTCCTGCGTCGCTTGCCCTCAATTTTGCCAGTGAGAGCTAGATGTTCAAGACCCATATGTCTATTCAGGTGTCCCAAAAACAGCATTTGTCGTTCATGATTGTTTTTAACATTGAGCGTCCCACGTGGGCTTCATCAGGCACTACCTAATTTGATTTCTTTTCCTTCCACCATTAATGATATGAGGGGAATATTATATTTTTGAGCAGCCTGAATGGCCTGGCTAGCCCAATTTACGACAAGTTATGAAGTTGACTGTATTAATTTCATATCAGTGTATTGGCTACAAATCACCCCGTCATATTTCCTATTTCGATGCGAAGATGCTGTGAAACTAACAAGGAAGCAATTTATTATAGAATAATCTAATTGATTTCTGAGACACTGTGGTAAAGAAAGACATAATTTACTTTGTAATCAGGACACTGGATCGGCTGAGGTTCGGAAAGCTTTTTGTTCATAACTCCTGTGACTTATCGTTGGGCTTTTGCTTCTTGGCTCCACAGAAGATGATTTATTTCTGGCGGTCTAGTATTGCGTCGTATAGCTTGTTTATTAGGATTAAGCTGGATCTTTTGACTTACTTACAGACAGAAAAATGGGGTTTTATTGAAAGAAGTGGCTGCTCTGTACAATATCATAGTGACCGCCATAGTAAAAGTGACAGGCGAGACTTCTTGTAATTTGGGCCTTCTGTTAGCTCAGTTGGTATCATGCTGGCCTACGGAGAGGGTTGTAGTGGTTTGGATCTCAGTCTGGGTTTTCTTGAACTCGGGTTGTCTAAGCTCTCGGGTTCTTTGTGTAATAATTACTCCCGTTTGCAGCTTTCGGTGTATATGACCTTATTGTGTTGCAAGTGCCGTAAAACACTTACTAAAACAATAGCTTTCTGTTGCCGGGCACCTCAGGAGCCAGTGTGCTATGTCCTGGTCTTCTTCCTCGCACAGTGCCAGGGGGGAAGGGGTGGGGGAGGGCAAATTGTATCTGTGCGGGGGGGGGGGGCACATTATATCTGCGCCCGGGGGGGGGGTGGGGGTGTGGGAGGGGCACATTGTATCTGTGGTCTGGCAGATCCTGGTTTGATAGACCCGCAGCAGGGGGTGATGACCAGTCCTTAGCCTGGCGATAAGGTCGCTGTGGGATCCTGTTATGGAATATTTCCAGTGTATTATAATAATGTTATGTATCTACGTTCTCTCATGCTCTATCAGTTTTATTGCCTTTGATGTTGTTGCAGCTGTTGTTGTTGTTGTTGTTTTTATGTTGTTATTGGCTATGTTTTGTATGTGTGTGTGTGGGGGGTTGCTGTGTGGGTTATTGAACTTCTTATTCTATTTTCTATTAATGCTTATCGTGCTGTTTCTTTTTTATGTTCTATGAAAACAACAACGTTATACTTTTAAAAAAGTCGGTACGA